GCTTGAACAGTACTGATTACTGAAAAAAATCAAAAGAAACCTTAAACATACTTCAGAAGAAAAATATCTGGACTAGATAGTTTTATGAGAAAAAGTGTCATAGTTTCAAGAAATATATCACTCCACTTTTGTCCAAACTCTTAGAAATGACAGAGGCAAAAGGGAATATGCCCCAATTCATTGAAACCAAGACCAAAGGCTTTATGACAGTGGAAATTGATAGGCTTAAATCTGATACAAATCTTAAGTAAAATATTGTGAGCAACTTATTTTATTTATATATTTATTTTTTACTTAGAATCCTTTTATTTAAGTTATACAAACTTCATGCATTTCATATATACAAATTTAGGAACACAGTGATTCTTCCTATCCCAACCTCTCTCCCACCCACACTCCCACCCTTCTGCCTCCTCCCTCTCCTCTTCTCATTCTTATTTTTTTTTTTACTAAGATCTATTTTCAATGAACTTGATATACACAAAATTAACCCTATACAAAGTAGAGGGTTCAATGAATAGTATGAAAAAAAAAAAAAAAACTGTTCCTTAACAGTGGAGACAAGGGCTGTTCAAAGTCATCACATCTCAAAGCGTCAATTTCACATCTATAGATTGCCTTTTAGATACTCTATTAGTTACCACAGATCTGGGAGAACATATAGTATTTGTCCTTTTGGGATTGGCTTATTTCATTAAGTATAATGTTTTCCAGTTACACGTCTCTGAGTATTCATTGTTAGCAACTTAAATGCAAGAGAATATAAAGAATTTTCCAGAATCAAGTTGGATTTCCCTTAAATGCATTCATTATATTAAAAGATAAAAAAGAAGTCTGTGTTCATCTAAAGAATTTCAGAAAAATCATTGCATAAAAATTAATCCCCAATAATCATAAAACTGTTTGTTTATTGGGAATAGAAGGGATCTTCCTTAATTTGATAAACAATATGTCTGAAACTTTAGGGCAAATATAATCCTAATTGAAAAAATATTAGAATTACTCCCTTTAAGGTCATTTCCTTTGTCATTCAATTTTGAAATTCTTGCCAAGATAACAATGTAAGAGAAAAAAAAGTGCTATTTTCACGGTATAAAGTCCACTTTCTCACTATAAAGAGAAAATTTTGTTACAATATGTCACACACAGCATGATATTATTGTTAAAAACAGCTATGGCAAAACAATTGTGTTATGTTTCCCCAGCCCATAGCACGGTAGGATAGCAAACAAGGAAGTGCAGAGAAGGCCAATGCTGTCGATTCTGATAGCAATTATAGAAATTACATCAATACTTGAGGATGGTACAAAATATTTTTAAAAACTGTCTAACCAGAGTCTTCTGTTTTAAAGCAAATTTAATTTGATTTTAATTGATATTTATATGAAAGTAATTCTATTCAGAAATCATATATATCATAGATTTTTTTCTTTGAAACAAGTAATATTTTGTCATATTTTCCTTACACAAATTCTATCAAAAGAAACTATTTCCTTATAGGAAGTTTTTCTACCTCTTCAGGCTTAGATATTCTGATTATGTTCATCAATTTTATTTACTCTTAATCTTCTACTCTATAAGTGTCTTATTGTATAAAGATACTGATATGATTAAGTAATATGACATATGCTTCTCTATATCTGATTACACATAAAATTGGAAAATTGAGGTTTTTTTTTTCTTTTTTTTTTTTTTTTTTTTTTTTTTGACAGGCAGAATGGACAGTGAGAGAGAGAGAGAGGCAGAGAGAAAGGTCTTCCTTTTCCATTGGCTCACCCCCCAAATGGCTGCTTCGGTTGGCGTGCTGCGCCGATCTGGAGCCAGGAGCCAGGTGTTTCCTCCTGGTCTCCCTCCCATGCGAGTGCAGGGCCCAAGCACTTGGGCCATGCTCCACTGCCCTCCCGGGCCACAGCAGAGAGCTGGACTGGAGGAAGAGCAACTGGGACAGAATCCGGCGCCCCAACCAGGGCTAGAACCCAGAGTGCTGGCACCGCAGGCAAAGGATTAGCCTAGTGAGCTGCAACGCCGGCCAGCCACCACCACCACCACCACTTATCTTCTTGTCCTTTGACCAAAAACCTGTTTTTTAAAATTACACTTTATTTATTAAGGCAGAGAGAGAAAGAGCCTTGGAAAAAAATCGTCTATCTGCTGGTTCACTCCCCAAATGCCTACAATAGCCAGGACTGGACCAGGCCAAATCTAACAGTCAGGAAATCAAGCCAGGTCTCCCATAAGGGAATACTAGCACATGAGAAAATAAAATCTATGTCCAGAATTACTGTCAAAATATCTAATGAACTCTGAAAATGTATATTCTTTATCCTCAACAAGACAAATATAGTTAAGGACAGCATAAATAATTTGATCTAAATTCTAAATATGTTTTTTTCCTACTGTTTTAGTTTCTTCCCTCTCCATAGCCTACATCTGATCTGTCATTCAGTTATTAATTTTTTCTTTTTTTATGAAATGTTTATATATTTGAAAGTCAGAGTTAGAGAGAGGGTGATACAGATTCAGAGAATTTTCATCTATTGGTTCACTCCCCAGATTGCCGCAATAGCCAGCTATGACCCAGGTTTAACCCAGGAGCCAGGAACTTCACCCAGGGGGGTGGCAGGGGTCCTAATATACCAGCGATCTTCTATGTCTTTTCTCGGGTAATTAGCAGGTAGCTGGAGAGGAACTGGAGTAGCCAGGACTTGAACCAGCACCCACATGGGAAGCCGGTTGTTGCAGGTGGTGGCTTTACCCAGTATACCACAGTGCCAGTCCGACTTCTTTTCTTTTAAATCATTTTTCATTTTAAATGATTTTTGTCTAGTTTCGTTCCTCAATATCCTCAGGGCCCAATGCTTACATTGTGTCCTTCCTTTTAGTATCACTTCATTCCTCTTAATTAACTCCCAGCTGTCCCTCTATGACCAACACATATTTTTAAACCACAGCTTCTTTCTGATCTCCCCAATTCAAAATCCTAAAATCTGAACTTTCTCTCACGTAACTCATGAATGGTACTAGTTTTCAAACCCTCATTTTATGGCTCACGCTTTATCCATTCAGCAGTGCATCCCACTAATCTCAAGTTATGAACAGTTTCCTATCACCACATATGCAATACATAATATGTATTGGCTTAATACATACAATACATAATATGTAATATGGCTTCTACCAACAGATTTCAGACTCCAGTGGGAGAGAAGATTGTTTCTATGGGGAATCTGTGAACCCATATATGGGAATCATTTTATAAATAATAAAATGTAAGCATTTTCATAATGTTTATCCTGGATAGTTGAATATTTATTATATGCCAGGCTTTAAGCCAAATATATATCATAATAATACCAAGAGCAGTATCTTAAATTATCTGTATCATAAGTCTATAGTGTAGGTGTTATGCTTGCTTTTAATATAAAATAATTAAAATCCCAATGAATGAATTAATTATCTCTAAATCAAATAGTTTATAAATAAATAGAAGACTGGACTATCTAAGACACAAAGAATCTTTACTACCCACTCTAATGAGGAAAGGCCTGTGCCCTAAATGCTTTTAATCTCATGTGTTTTGAATACTCAAAAGGGCTGGAAGTCATCAGACAATATTTTTCTCAGTTCTATTCTTTCCCATTGATATTTTATGCACCCCAATTGTCCTCAGCCCTTCAGTAAGTATCAAAAACCAGCATACCCTCCAAAGCACATTTACAGCCCAAGCCCTCTCCAGTACCTTCCTTGCAGCAGCCTGAATTATTTTTCTGTTCATCCAAACACTATAGGACTAATACACTGAGCACTAAATTTCCTAATTTAATTATATTTATTGTTTTATTACTCTTCATTTCTATTCACTCAGCGGGAGAGAGAAAACCATGGTTTATACTCACTGTGTTCCTGAAAATGAATTATTTATGAAACCCTGAGAATTTTCTGGAAATAAATGTATAAAATCTCCCAATATCATTGCAATTACAGAAAAGGAAAGGAAATCTCAGATATAGTCTCATTTTATATTTCCAAATAATCAGTCAGTACAAAGTATCAAAAGAAAAAACAAAACTGTAATCCTTACTTGTGTGTGCAACAAATAACATGTAATGCAAGTTTTAAGAGAAGCTGAGGAAAGTTTTTGAATTGTTTGGATCCTCTGTTTTGCTTTTCCTGTGAAGAAATTATTGTGACTCTCAAATGGTAAAAGTGAGCAAGAGACTCAGAATGACTGCAGACATAAAAGGAAGACAAACTTCAGGTATAAAGAGGAGCTCTGTAGGGGCGCCCATGCCACACAGTGCATGCACACTGGAAAAACCGGCATTCGAAAGCTTATTTTCTTTCCTTCTGGCTGTTTATTCATTTAGATGCAATAAATCAGATTTTTCCAGTTGTATGGCGCACACTATTGAGCTCTGTCTAACTTTATTTTATTTGCTAAAGCGGAGCCATGGGATTTGAATGGCAAACACTGAACACAGAAATCCCGCTGTGTTATTATTGTTATTATTATTTTCGTTCTATTATGAGTGAATAAAAATAATGTGTTGGGTTGGAGTGGAAGATCCCTTGTCCTTGGCAAGCAAGCTTATAACACAAATAGAAAAGAAAAAATGCACAGCAGAGAATGGTAACTCATAAATACTTTGTGATATACAATTTACATGCACATGTGATCTCTTTAGTACTAAATTTATAACAATAATTATTAATGTGAATGCTGAAACAGCTAGTGGAGCCATCAAGTTTTTGATAAAAAGGTCACAATAAAACATTATTGGAACTTTTTTTTTTTAACTGAATAGACTATTTTCTAACTTTAGCAAAGAGCACTAAAAAGCAGTAAGAAAACAAGTTTGTTAGAAGATTATTTTTATACATTTCAAAGCTGAATTTCTACGTACCTTATTTTATTGCCTACAAGTTATAAAGTTTAAATTCAGTACTTAAGGTGGTTTCATCTCCAAACACTGAAACAATTCCAAAATGCAGTTGCTCACCAGTTTTAACTTCGAAGGGTCTATAACCTGCACAATAGCAATCGTTTTCTCTTTCTCCTTCATCATTTTCTTTTCTTTAAACTTGCAAACAATCCCCGGAGACGTGAGCAGAAATCTCTGCACTAACGTGAACTTTGGTTCTTCCTTGGACTTTAAGACTAATCTGGTCTAGATTGTGACTGACAAAAGCTTGCTCATGGGTGTTATGCAGTCCTTTTAAGTTCCATCCAAGCATGGGGGTTGTTAATATTTACTCAGTCCTTGTCTCTGGAATGGTCTTGAACTATAACAGTTTACTTAGATTGCCAAATGCCACCAGCATTTACAGACGTCTGATGGAAAAATACCTACATATGTTAAACGAAATGAATTACTGTGCACAACCACATCTCAGAAAGAAAGAGGTAAAACTGAGACAGATGGGTGAAAATGATAGTGAGACACATCTAAAATCAGAGGCTGAAAAATCACTCTGCTGGGGTGGGAGTTCACATTGGCCTCAGGGCCTTTCACAGCCCTCCACAGCAGTCACTTCTACGCAGTGACTGCCCTCTCCCACCTGCTGACACAGTGCAAGGGGTGGGGTTGTTGCCTTTGGTTTCTTTCTGGGCTGGATTCAAGCCCCAGTTCTATTGTTCCATAATGTATGAAGTTGGGCAAGTTATTGAACTTTTCTCCAAGCCTCTTTCCTCACTTATAAAATGATAGTAGGTCATAATAATCTCAATCTCACAGGTTTGTTGTAAAGTTTGAATGCAATTTCCCCACAAAGCCATTGTTCAAAATCCGCGTCACGTAGTAAGTACCTAGTGCTTGTCAGCTAATGTTATCACTGTCATATTCTGGCTGCTGCTGCATTTTTTCCATTAACAGTACTCCAAGGTAAAATGTATCATATGTGTAATTATTTATGTGTGAATTTTAGAGTAATTTATTTAGTATGTATTTCCTGAGCACCAGTGCTGGGCCAGGCACAGATCTGGGTAGTAAGAATCAAATAATAAAAGGTTCCTGTTCTAGGCTCCAGAGACAAAGGAATGTTAGAAACACAGGGAGTTTATAATCCTAAAATGGGAGCACACAATAACTAGGTGAACAAAGTAAGAATAAGTTAATGTTTGTACTCTATTCATAAGTGTGAGAACATGTATAAATTAAGATATTGCCTTTGCAAGTCATGGTGGGGGCCATTTGGCTGGGATAATTGTGGAGGGCCTCTCTGACAAGATGACATTGGCTGAAGATCTGAATCATGAAGGGCAACCATGCAAAGATCCGGGATAAAATTACTCTAAGCAGCAACAGCAAAACGGGGTTCAAAGGTTTTAAGACGATGCTCTGCTTGTCATGTTCAGGGAGCAGGAAGAAGGCTGTGGAATTCAAAGTCAAAGAACTTCTAATTGTGATAGAGCGCCTAGATTTTTATCCTGAGTATCTTATGAAATTAACAAATGTTAACCTCAGAAAAATAGGGTCTGATCATTGCTTTAGGAAGAGCATTCTGGCTGCTTTATGAAGAACTGTAAGGGGGCAAGAAGTAGTAGGGAAGCAGTCAGAGCCTATGGTTTGTTTGCAAGTGAGAGACCATCTTAGCCTAGGAAAGAGTTTTATGGAAAAAGATGGTGAGGAGACAAATTCTGGAAGTCTTGAAAGCTAAAAGAAAGACATACTGATATATATGGGTGTGGGAGTAAAAAAGAGAATAGCAAAAAATTCTAGAGCAGCCCAAAGCAGATTTCAGTGGGAAAGCAAATGCTTTTTTTCAGCCATATGAATCATGAGGTGTCTGTTTGAAGCACGCAAGGTTTCAAGCAAGCAATGGGATAGGAGTCTGGCACACATGGGAGAGGTCTTGACTGCAGATGGGTTGAGACAATTGGTAGAGTATGTATAGATATGAGAAAATGGCCAATGACTTTTGACAACTGTTAGAGGAAAAAGAACCAGCAAGGTGTGTGCAGCACCTGGACAACATAGGGCCGCCTAATCCAAGACAGTAACTCAAGGAAAAGGAAGTGTTCCACTGATGTCAAATGCCGCTGAGAAACCAAGTCATATGAGAATGGAGAAATTACTGTTGGCTTTGCAATAACTGACTTTTAGAATTCGGAGCACAAAACCTCTACAGAAGAGACTGAGAGGTAAGAAGTGTAGAAGCAGGGATAAAATGGAGGCAATGGTGTCTCTTGCCTACAGGAGTCAGGTAATAACATAGAAGCCAGAGAAGAAATGAGCTCGAAATGGAGTTGTTTGGCTTGGTTTGATCTGTAATAGATATTACGAAGAATTACTATAAAGACAGTATTTCAATTCAATAGATCGGCACATAGGAAGGTAAGTAATGGATCCAGGTTATAAATTGTGGGGCTGACTTTAGAATGCTGAGCTAGGAGAATTATATTATTGTAGCAGCATAGATACAGCAGAAAAATGAAAACAGATGTAGATGATTTAATGGAATTGCTGCTACAAAACTAATGAGGAAGTTCAAATCTGACTGCAAATATTTTCTACCTCTGAAATATATCATGAAAAATAAATCCTCTGAAAATTGGAGAATAAATGTGGAATCTTGGTTATTTGATGAGGAAGAGATATAAATCAATAGTTGTTCAATTAATGAGAATTTTGTCAAGAAGTACCAAATGCCAGTACTAACAAGATATATATATAAAGAAGTTAACATACTCATTGGGCTGAATGTTTCTTGCACTTTGGTTCCTTGTAGTCCAGCTTCTGTAGTTTTGCAGTAAAAACTAATTGCTTGGACAGGTGGCTAATTCTCTTGACCAAATAGAAAAAGAGAGATAACGTCAGCTTAATTATTCAGAGTCTAGTCTCTAATCACTCAGCACTCATTTCCGGGTCTGAAATGCCCGGGCAAATTGATCTTTAAAAATCTTGAATTACTTTATTCAGCTGATAAATTTGCAGAACCAACAGAAGCAGTCCACCCTCTCCCTCAGTTTCCATGAACAACTTTCCCACCAACAGAAACTACGTGACTTTCAGATCTTGGTCCTGGGATAAATCATAGCTGAGTGATCTCCAAGCTTTTCTGCTCAGGTCTCAGCAAGAGAGTTTCAAAATGCCCAACAGTACACTTAACAGATTGCCCTTGAGACCTTGTGTTATAGCCAGAGAAAATATGAAATACTTAGAAACATATCATGTAGTAGGTGAAAATTTGATAACAATTACTATTGCTGATAAATACCCTCATTTTTGAATCTTACTGAAACAGACATGTGTTACTTTAGCCTGACTAGAACCCCTTCACATTTATTTGGGTAATAGGGCCTCTGGATTCTTGCTTTTAGTTTAAGTCATTTGCTACATGGGGCTACACAGTAGGTAGGGTGGGCTGAAGACCCAGAGAGATGGGCTGGATCTGTGACAGAAATTGCTTAAACACAAATAATCTCAGGGTTTTTTCTGAAACTAAGGAGAAAAGCAGCTCTCTTTCTCTTTGGTTGCAATGATTGACTATGTGTATGCATTAGGATATATTTGGTTATGAGTACCAAAAAAATCCACAGGCCAGCCTTGTGTTGTAGTAGGTCAGCTACCACCTGGAATAACAGCATTCGATATGCGCGCTGGTTTGAGTCCCAGCTGTTCCACTTCGAATCCAGCTCCCTGCCAATGCACCTGGGAAAGCTGCAGAAGATGGCCCAAGTGCTTGGGTCCCTGTCACCCATGTTGGGAGACACAGAAGAAGCTCCTGGTTCATGTCTTCAGATCAGACTAGCTCAAGCCATTGTGGCCATTTGAGGAGTGAACCAATGGATAGAAGATTCTCTCGCTCAATCTCTCTCTCTCTCTCTCTCTCTCTCTCTCTGTAAATGCTGCTTTTCAAATAATAAATGAATCTTTAAAAAAAAAACGCTGACACAATTAGCTTATAACATAAAGGAGGAAAATTATTCTCCAGGGACATATAAATTGTCTTTCTTTACATTTCTCTTCACTTTTTCTTTCTATTTCTTTCTCTTTTTTCTTTCTTTTTATAAAATTTTATCTAAGATTAAAATGTCATGTATTTCATATATACAGATTTAGGAACATAGGGATTCTTCCCATCCTATCCTTCCTCCCACCCACACACCCACCCTTCTTCCTTCTGCCTCTCCTATTCCCACTCATAATTTTTCAAAGGTCTATTTTCAATTTACTTTCTCGTAAGATTAACCCCACACTAAGTAGCAGCACTCAGTGACCTGCTCCATATGCTAAAAGTGCAGCACAACCCCCCCCCCCTTTCTGCAACTCTCACTTTCAAAATAAATAAATGAATCTGTAAAGGAAATGAATTTAAGCAACAACTTGAGTAAATCCAATAATTATGACTAGTGAAGGAAGTGAGACTTCCTTCTTCGAAAGAATATATTGGGGAAGGTGCTGTGGTGTAGAGGGTAAAGCCATTGCCTGCAGTGCCAGCATCTCATATGGGTGCCGGTTCATGTCCCAGCTGCTCCACTTCTGAGCCAGCTCTCTGCTGTGGCCTGGGAAAGCAGTAGAAGATGGTCCAAGTCCTTGGGTCCCTGCACCTGCATGGGGGACCTAGAAGAAGCTCCTGGCTCCTGGCTTCGGATCGGCACAGCTCTGGCTGTTGCGGTCAACTAGGGAATGAACCAGCAGATGGAAGACCTCTCTCTTTCTCTCTCTCTCTGCCTCTCCTTCTCTCTCTGTTTAACTCTGACTTTCAAATAAATAAATAAATCGTTTTTAAAAAGTGCAGCACAAGCCAATTCTTAAAGAAGTTTCCAGCAAAGGAAATGGGCTCACCAAGATTGGCTTAAATTCACCAGAAATGTTCTCTTCTTCATGAAGAAGTGACTATCTAAAAACAAACAACAACAAAAAACTGGGGTGGGAAAAAAATGTATGCATGGCTCAGTACAGGCGGAGAGTAAATGCCCAGCAACTGAAAATAAAGTCAGCCAGAAGCCTAGGGAGGGAGGCCCACGTGCAATATGACTTAGGCATTTTTAAATGACTTGAATCAATAAATCCCTTTCACACTAAAGCTTCATATGTTAGGTTCTACCACCTGCAACCAAAGGTTCATTGGCTAACATATGTACCCAAAGTGTTCTTCTGAATCTTAACAGGTCTTCATTTTTATCTACATGAACCAATAAAGTCCCTTGGAGTTTCCTACCTATAATCTATTAGCTGTGCTTATACAAGACTTTTTCTCTCTCCATCTACTTCTCTCTCTCTCTGTCTCTCTGTCTCTCTCTGTTTCCATTTTTTACTTTTTGCCCTATGTTTTTCTCTTGCTACTTTTCTGCTTTCACACCTCTCTTAAAATCTTACCTATACTTCCTGTGTGTTGAAGAGCATCTCTTTCTTTCATCTCTTTCTTTTTTGTGTCTGTGTTTTTGATTTGTTTAAATTTTAGTTTTGCTGCAAATATAGTGTTTTATCAAACTTTGTTGTCTTTGTTAAGCAAATCGTTGAGAATGATGCACTACTACAGGATCGATGGCCTTTGACTATTTCAAAATTTACTGTGTATTAGTGAAAGACATCTTCTCATTTGGAAAAAAGGAAAGATCATATTTTTCTAAAGCATTTTCCGAAATCCTCACATTTGCGTGGTTTCTCTTCATTCAAGTTCCAGAGGAAATCTCTGACCAGCATTTAAAATACATGCCTGAAATCTAGTAAGATATAAATTAACAGTCCTGGAGATCAATATTTTTAATTATGTCCATGATATAAAAATAGATACCAAAGCACAGGTTAAGTGATTTATATAATGTCTGGATTACACGTTGGGTGTAGCACCAAAATGCACACTCTCCCCCTGCATCTCACACACACTCACTGTGTTGTACCACTGAAGTGTTGTCCCTTGATGTGAGAACTGGGCCTCACTCATCTGAACCTCAGGTAATGTGACTAGAGTATTAAGCTTTACATATAATAAGTATTCAATAAATACCTAATCATTGAATTGTGCAGTTTTGTGGGTATATCTAAAATTAGCAATGGTCATTGATCATTAGCAGATAGTTCTTTATATAGCAGTATTTATCTTTCTAAAAAGTACAGTCTGCGTCACTATCATTCTTTTTTACCAAGTAAGCCATTGCATAATCTCTATAAAACAATCTCTGTCTAACATTATTTGACAAAGAATGTTTCAATATGTAGTTTCAATGCAATAAGTACAACATACAAGAAAGAGAAGATTGCAGAAAATTAATATCACTTCCTCAAACCCAGATGTTGAATACTAGTTAAAATAGTATCCTCAAGCTGTTTAGTTAAATAGGGAGAAATTAAAATTAATAACATATTTATCTAGAGAATTATTCAGTTTTTAGGTATCTATGCTAGTTGAAATATGAAAAGAGAAAAGATAGAATTGGCATTCCATCCTGAAAAAAAGAAAGAAAAACTGAAACAAAATTCAGATTTTAAACCTCATGTGAACTTTAGCAGATAATAGTCCTTTTAATGACATATGAGGAGGTCCTGTCTGCCGAGAAAAAGGATGAAAAAGGTACTTCTCCCATCTGATAGTCTATTTGGAAATTAATAATAAGAAGAAAGATGTTTTCACAAATTGGTTCTTAGCCCATTGATATACTGATTAGTATCCTACAGCACAAATTATAGGCACAGTTTCCTTTATTTATGAAATGTATGAAGTAGCAAAGCAATTAAAATTTCTCATATTGTTTTTCCTATGTTTTCCAAAAGGTCCTGAACCATACATAAAAAATAACATTCCTTCAAAATGTGTGGAAAGTACCTACAGGTAAGTACTTTTACAGATAATATTTTTTGTGTGATAAATAAATGAACAATGAGGAGATGACAATAATCAAACAGGAGATAAACTATGCCCCCTTCTTGATATTATTCCAAGAATTTGTACTAATTTCAACACAGAAGTCTTTCTATTACCTGTAAAGCAGGGTGAGGCCTGTTTTACCTTTTCTTAGTTCATCTTTAAACTCTGGTTATTGGCTCAGAAGTAAATTTATATTTTTCATTATAGTAATATGTTTTTCTTCCACAAAGGTGTAGAACTTCTGAATCTGACCTCCATTAGTATGATAAAATAATCCAAATTATAGTCCTGACCTTATGAAGATGCTTGATTACATGCTGTGATTCCAATGGGCAATCTGAAGATTAAAGAACTCATAGAAAATTCTATACCATATTAAATATATGTGTATATGTTTAATGTAATATAATTATACATAATATATAACTTAATACATGTAATATATATAAACATGTATATTGAGTTTGGAAAGATAGATTACAGATAGATATGCAAAATAGAAAATAGTATACTACAGACCCCGTAATCTTCTTCAATAATATTGTATAACCTTTTTTCTGCACCAATAAATCTTTTCTAATATGCATCTGATAGCTTGTGCTTATTCTGGCAAAAGTTCAGAAGAAAACATCACTTGCTAACCAATCAAAA